TTTAATTTGTTACATATTTCACAATTGCATTTTAATGTGGTTGAGGCTGCACTAGAGAGTATTGGGGAGGAAAGTGGAAGGGAACAGAGGGGAAGGGAGGGAAGGAAGTGTCTGACACATCTAGGCAACAGAAGGAAAAAAAACAGGCCATTTCTTGAATGACAGGCTAAAGTTTCCAAATGAAATATCATCATCTTTAAGTTCTTTCAAGATTGTAAAACTACTCTATAAGCCAAGGCAAGAACTTTTCCTAATGTTTAATCAATTACACAGCATTAAAATATATAATAATCTAAACAGAGATGTCATCTACTATTTTACTGCATATATACTAGAGGAAATCACGAAACTGCTCTCTAGATCCACTACTAATTCATGCTATCTAACTTTAAATGGACCTTTACTATAAGATGTAAACTTCTCACTAAGAAAGAACACATAAAAAGAAGAGAAAAGAACCAGGGTTTGGGGGAACCTCTATGTTAGGACACAAGAAAACAAAAACTGAAAAGGAGTAGTCAAATAGGTAGGAGGAAAAGCAGGCAAGAGCTAAAAGAGAAGTAACAAATGCTGCAGGAATACAAAAAAAAAAATGAAGATTAAGAAAAACCCCCTCTTTCCAATTCTGTATTCCTTTCAATGTTCTCATTTCTCTTCTTTTTCCTTCCTCCATTTATAGAGAAGTAGTCTTTCCTTTTTAGTAAGGCTAACCCTTTTGTCTTATCTTTTTCATCACTCTTGCACCTTGACTCCATCAATGATTTTCTCTCATAAATCTTCACACTCTCCTTCGTTGGATCCTTCCTAAGGTCTCTACTATCCTGTCTCTAAAAAAAGAAAAAGAAAAGAAAAAAGCTGCCTCTGAACCTCCCACTCCATCACACTATTACACCCTTGCCTCCTCCTTCACAGGCAAATGACTAAAAAGTATAATCTATACCCAACATGTCCACTGCTCATTGTTCACTCTTCATCTCATTAAAATCTGGCTTTCATTCCCACCATTGTATAGAAATAATTCTCTCCAAGGTAACTATCATTTTTTAAAATCAATTTATCACTCAATCACAATTTATCACTCAAATCAAATGATTTTTTTCCATTCTTTTTTTTTTCAGCCCCAAACAAGGTTTATTGAAGATTCGCCATATTAGCTAGACTCTTAAGGAATCTGAGCATCTATGGGCTATTGGCTAGATTCTAAGAATCTGAGCCGATTTTTTTCCATTCTCAGCTGTCCTTCCTATAACTTCCTACAACCAACACTAAGGACCAACCTATCTGTCCTGAGGTTGCTTCTGAAGTTTCCTTCCTATTGTGGCCCTCCAAAACCTCACAGAGTGAAGAAACTGTACTCACCAGAATACTTTACTGCATACTTCTGCTAAACACAGGGAATGGGCTTACCTGAGTACTTGACATATATAGTTCATGTTAGAGCAATTGGAATAAGCCTACTACATATGCATAATTCAAGAAACTCCCTCCTCCCTGAATACAGGCCCTTAAACTTCTCATTAAACGCACAGCATATGATGGTTGCAGATACAGCTTTTCCTTCAGTTCTCCCTAAATGTCCCTCACACCTTTCACTGAGATGCAATGTCCCACTTCAGATATTTATTGAAATGTGCATAGCCTTTAACAGGTTAGGTCCAAGAACAAGCTAGGGCTTTCCCAACATTATTTTATTTGATTCTCACCACAGCCCTGGGAGGAAGGTGCTATAACTAAGGCAAATATAGCTGAAGTGACTTGCACAGGGTCAGACAGCTTAGTGTCTGAGGAGAAATATGAACTCAAGACTCCATGAACTCCAGGCCCAGCACTCTATCCATCACACCACTTAGCAACATTATCCACCCCTGCCTGTCTACCAAGAGGTTTGAAGTACTTCATACATTTTTCTCCAGTACCAAAATTAGTCATCATACTAAATCTGAGTTCAGTTGCCTTTTAGTGTTGCTTTTGTTTATACTATTTCAGTTCTGCTTTATTTATTCTGTATTACTATTATATAAAATTCTTTCCTTATTCTATTAATCTTCATATTCATCATTTCTTACAATGCTTTTATTTCTTACAATTCTTTCATTATATTCATAAATTCAGGTATCTCTATAAGACTATATGTTGCAGAGCAATCTGCACTGCACTCTGAAACTTTGAAGTACTACTTCAGATACAATTACTAATACCATCATGTGATTGCCCAGTTCAAATAATACACTAACAGAAAACACAGACGTGAATACAGACTTACAGGTTCTTGTGTTTCTGCTTCTTCCCATGCTCCCCAACCATCATCTTCCCAGTTTGTTGATTTACCTATTAACAAAAAATGAAGTCTTTAGATGAAATGTATTTATTAAATAAGGATTTCTTAAAGGTTCAAAGCATTAAAACACAATGATAAAATCAGAATCTAAAAATTTTTAAGCAATTTTTTGAATGTATAGAACCAAACCTTTTATAAAACTGACAAAAGGACAGAATTTATGTTAATCATCTTGTGCCAGGTTTCTTACTCTATGTAATATTCTTCAGTAGACATGACTCATTATGTGTTCAAATCCATTTAATAGTAAGCATAGTGTAACAGGAATCTACCATTCTTTGGCTCTTAATTATATCTAAGTGATATTCAGATAGTATTATTACAAAGGTAACAATAAAAATCTAAATTAGTAAGCCAATTTATTACTTGACAAAAAATACTAGATACTTGAATTGAAAATCTGAACATATTTACAAATGATAACCTGAAAAAGTTCTCTTTCATTTGGGTTCAATAAGAATTTATACTTATGATTTAGAAACATACCAGGTCTTACCACTTGTTCTTTTGTCTACTTTTTCACAGATGAGACAACCTGTATAATTGAAATTAAATGCTCAACACTAACAAATATAACTGAAAAAGAAATTATGATGGCCAATTACCAAAAGAATTTAGGAGGCAGCACTACATTGTTTATCCTTCTTACACCAATATAATCTACTTTCCAAAGTTAAAAAAAAAAAGTAAACTTTTCCTTTACCATTCAAAATAACAGTAAATTAAGATGTGAATAAAATGAAAAATTGCTCATGAGTAAGTCAAAGTAATATAATAAAAATGGAAATACTACCTAAATTTAATTTACTTAACCAATGCTGTACCACTCAAACAACCAAAAGAATACTTTGTAGACCTATAAAAAAAACAACAAAATTCATATGAAAAAAAGAAAAATCTCAAGATATTTTTTTAAATGAGAAGAAAGAGGGCTTGCCTACCAATATCAGGTTTCAATCTATACTACAAAGAAGTAATCATCAAAAAAAATTGATTCTGGTTAAAAAAGTAGAGAGTTTAATTATTGCAATATATCAGGAATTACATAAGATATAGGATCAAATAAATTTAATAACCTAGTATTCAACATACTCAAAGACCCAAGTACTAGGAGAAGCACTGGATATTTGACAAAACTCCTAGGAGAACTGGACAGTGGTAGGACAAAAAGTAGGTTTGAATCAATACCTCATAACACCAAGATAATCTCCAAATGGATATATGACTTTGATATGGAAGATCATTTCACAAGGTATAGGAACAAGGAATAAAAATTTTTGAGATGTACTGTAAGAGAAGGGTTCATGATCAAACATGAGATAGAGAAGATAAAATGGACAATATCAATTACATAATATTTAAAAGTTTTTGCACAAACAAAACCAATAAAGCTAAGATTAGAAGGGAAAATGTTAATTAGGAAAAAAGTCTTTGCAGCAATTTTCTCTGTTCAAGATTATTTCCAAGATTGGTCGGAAATTTATTCAAACTATAAGAATAAGAGCATTCCCCTGCCCATCAATTGGGGAATGGCTGAACAAGTTGTGGTATATGAATGTAATGGAATACTAATGTGCTGTAAGAAACGATGAGCAGGCAGACTTCAGAAAAATCTAGGAAGACTTGTAAAGACTGAAGCTAGTGAAGTGAGCAGAATCAGGGTAACACTGTACACAGTAACAGCTACTTTGTGTGATGGCTAACTTTAATAGACTTAGCCCTTCTCAGCAAAGCAAGGATCTAAGACATCTCCAAAGGTCTCATGATGGAAATTGCTATCCACATCCAAAGAAAGAACTATGGAGTTTGACATACTATTTGCTATTTTTTTCTTCTGTTATGTTTTGTTTCCTCTTTCTTGTGGTTCCTCCTATTGGTTCTAATTCTTCCTTACAACATGACCAATGTGAAAATATGTTTAATAGGAATGTATATGTATAGCATATATCAGATTGCATGTTGTCTTAGGGAGGGAGGGAGAAGGAAGGGGAAAGGGAGGGAGAGAAAAATTTAAAACTCAAAAGCTTATGGAAGTGATTGTAGATAAATCAAAATAAACAAAAATTTTTTTTAAAAAGAGCCATAGGCAGTTTTCCAAGAAAGTAATTCAAGATATCAACAGCTCTATGAAGAAAGGCTACAAATAACTAAAAACTAGTAATTCAGGTTCTACTTTAAGACCATCAGATTGGCACAGCTGTTTTTAAAAAAAAAGACAAATATTGGACAAGTTTCAGAAAAATAGATATATTAATGCATTTTTAGTGGAAGCTGTGAACTGCTCCAGGCCATTCTGGAAAGTGATTTGAAACTATGCCTCCAAAGCTTAATCCAGTGATTCCCAACTAGACCTATAGCCAAATGAGATCAAAGAAAGAAGAAAACGAGTCATAAATATAATCAACCAATTTATGTATTAAATGTCCACTATGTGCCAAGCACTGTGCTAAGCACTAAGGATACAAAAATGCAAAAGACAGCCCCTGCCTTCAAGGAGCTTACACTCTAAGGAGGGAGAGAGGGAGACAGAGACAACATGCAAACAAATATATACAAAGCAAGATATACACATGATAAATAGGAGATAATTAACTGAAGGGGGTACTGGAATTAAGAGAGGCTTGGGAAGATTTTCTTTAGATGGTGGAATTTTAGCTGGGATTTAAAGGAAGCCAAGGAGGTCAGTAGTCAGAGAAGAGATGGGAAAGTGTTCCAGGTATAGGGGGCAGCCAGAGAAAATGCTCAGCGCCAAGAGAGGAAGAGTCTTGTTCACGGAACAGCCAGGAGAGGCCAATGTCACTGGATCAAAGGGTATGTTTTGGGAAGTAAAGTATAAGAAGACTGGTGGAGGAGTCTTCTCCTCCCTTCTAGGGGGCTAGGTTATGAAGTGGATTTTGTATTTGCTTCTGGAGGCAGTAGAGGCTTTCTTTAAAAAAAAAAATTTGGTACTGGTTAAAAAAATAGAGTTTAATCATGGTAACAGAGTAGGAGTTACACAATATGTAAGATCAAATCAGCCATAATAACCTAGTATTCTTAAGGCTTCCTAGCCACTAGAGTTTATTGAGTAGGGAGGGGACATGACTGGACCTGAGTTTTAGAAAAATCACTTAAATGGCTGAATGGAGGATGGACTGGAGTGGGGAGGGACTAGAAGCAGGCAGATCCACCAGCAGGCTATTGTAATAATCAAGGTGTGAGGTGATGAGGGCCTGCAGTAGAGGGATGAAAATGTCAGAGGAGAGAAGGGGGCATAATCAAGAGATGTTACAAAGGTGAAATTGACAGGCCTTGGCCAACAGCTTGGATATGGATGAAGGCAAGGGGGTGTGTGAAGACAGTGAGGAATTCAGGATGACTCCTAGGTTGTGAGTCTGAGGGACTGAAAGGATGGTAGTAACAGAGAATGTGGGAGTGAGAAGGGTTTAAGGGGAAAGAGAATGAGTTTGGTTTTGGATATGTTGAGTTTTAGATGTCTACTGGACACCCAGTTCAAAATGTGTGAAAGGCGGTTGGAGACGTGAGGTCAGCAGACAGCGTGGGACAGGATACGGAGATTTGAGAATCCTCAGCATGGAGATGGTAATTAAATCCATGGAGGCTGATGAGATCATCAAGTAAAGTAGTATAGAGGGAGAAGAGGGCCCAGCACAGAACCCTGATGGACACCTATGGTTAGAGGGCTTGATCTGGAAGAGGATCTAGTAACGGAGACAGAGTAGAAGTCAGATAGGTAGGAGGAAAACCAGGAGAGAGTAATGTCCTAAAAACTTAGCATAAAGAGAGTATCAAGAAGGAAAGAATGATCAACAGTGTCAGAAACTTCAGAAAGGTCAAGAAGAATGAGGATTAAAAAAGGCCATTAGATTGAGCAACTGAGAAATCATTAGTATCTTTGGAGAGAGTAGTTTTGTTGAAGTGATAAGACTGAATGCCAGATCATAAGGGGTTAAGAAGAAAATGAGAAGAGAGAAAGTGGAGACACCTATTGTAAATGGATATAAGATGACAGTGGGAACGGAAGGAAGTGAGGGTTTTTTCAAGGTAGAGGAGACATGTGCAAGTTTGTAGTGTTAATAAAAAGTCATGACTCCACTAAGACATGGGTAGTAACTTGACTGATTACAAGAGAAAGGCACATGCATGTAGGAACTACTTATACCAAGGAGCCTAAAATACTGACAGAGCCTTGGGTATTTATGGAGTATAACAAAAAGAGGAGGTCTTATAGGAGGGGTGAAAGGCAATCCCTTCCCAAATGGGAGTGGCATGGAAGGAGGAAGGGAGCAGTAGGGGAGGGGGAGTGAGAGGGGGCAGGAGGACTTGGGAACATTGGACTATGGAGGGAGGATGTTCTGCTTCTCTGAAAGGATCCTGGCTATACAGTTTAGTCAGGCTTATAGTTGACTCAACTTCAAGAGGACTGAAAGTTATAATAAAGTCCACTCACAAAAGATCAATGCTATGTTAGCTTTTTTGGGGGGAGGTTCTGGGTTCATTTCTGGAAAACAGGGCAACTCAAGAAAACAAGTTCAGGGGGGCCCTCTATAGTAGACAGTCGGAAATGAGCCAGTAGATAGGGAGAGACTGAAAACAAGTGAAAAAGTGAGGATGACAGATGGGTCAATCTGTTGGAGGACAGGATGGGATGGGATTGCTTGAGCAGGTAGAGGAGTTGGCCTTAGTAAGGAATAAGGCCACTTCATCATGTGAGACAGGGCAGAAAGTGGCAGAAAGGCACCTGAGTAACAGGAGATGAGGAAGAGGGGAAGAGAGGGAGTTCACAGTAAATGGTCTCAATTTTTTCTGTAAAATAAAGGCAAGGTTCTCAGTTGAGAGGATAAGAGAAGGGTGAGCTATGGGAAGACTGAGAAGGGATAAAAATGTTTGGAAGGGCCACAGTAGCATGGTATAGTGAGCTGATAAGGGACATATAGCAGGATTGCCTAGTGGCAGTGAGGGTTCGATTGTAATTGTGTAACATAAATTT